GCGAGTGAAGTCATCGACAAGCACAAGGAAGTAGCGCTCTCGACGCGGCCCATGGACAGGGGCGGGGCCCTAGACGTCCATGTGCAGGGTCTGCAGCGGCGCAGCGGTAGGGGGAAACGAGGAGGAGTGGGGGGCACGCCGAAGCCGACCCTCAACACAAGGAGTGCAAGGCGGGGCGGGGGAGGAGGGAAAAGCTGGGAGGGAACCAGGGAGACCAAGGACGAGACCGTGCTGGGACATGGAACGCAGACGCGGGAGCGCAGGGTGACCTAGGCGGTGGTGCCAAAGAGAGTCGGTGAGTGAGAGACCGACAAGAGCAGGCAGCAGCAACCGGGAAGACGCAGCCACCTGGAGGGGCGCCCACAGCCGGGGGGGTCACGGTGTCCAGGGTGAACAGGCCGGACACCGGGTCCCGCGGGAACGTGGACAGGGGGGCACCAGTGGCAGCCTTGGTACAGACAGCATACCGCGCGTGACCAGGGAACGTAGTGGTGACGCCAAGGTCCTGGAGGCAGCCGACACCAACTAGGGTTTCTGGAGAACGAGGGGATATGCAGACCTGTGAGAGAGCCCGAAGGAACTGCCGGACAGGGAAGGGTGGTGGAACTGCGCGCGACTACCGGACCGCCGGAGGGGTCAGCAAGAGAAACAGCAGCAGGAGCAGGAAGCGGCGTCAGTGTAGTGCAGTCGCGGAAGAAGCACCGGGAAGCGCCAGAGTCCAACGTGAAGGAAAGCGCAGCAGTGGCGTTCGGCAACGGGGCAACAACGGAGGCACCAAGGCTAAACAACGCAGGGGCTCCTACGCCTGACGCAGCAGGGGAGGCTAAGCTAGGCACACCTACTCTAGACGACAATGAGTAATAAGCGGGAAGCACACTAGAGTCATCAGCATACATCACATGCAGAGCAGCAACAATGGCATCCATATCCAAGTCAAAAATCGGAATACTTCGTCTAAGCATACTGTGCCAGTCCGGAAGGTCTGGCGACAGACCGAAGCGCTGACGAAACTGGTCGTCCAGGCGACGAAAGCAGCGAGGAGTGGGATGACCAGTCTTACCGCAAACAAGGCCGCGGCGAGGACCGGTCTGGATCTGGTACTGGCAACGCATGCCTCCCGAACCACCACCCGGCACACCACCACGCGCACGACCACCTCCAGCTCCAGGCCACCCGGGCGGGAGGTCACTCGTCTGCCTCGTCTGCGGCGGCTGCGGCGGCTGCTGCGACGGCTGCGGCTGCGGCTGCGACTGCGGAGGCAGCTGCTCAGCTAGACCGGGCAGGGTCCCCTCGTCCGCTCCAGCTCCAGACGACCCGACTCCACCACCACCCCTACCTGCACCCCCTCCTCCTCCGCCGCGGCCAGCCTTGGGGCGGCGGGCCTTCCCCTGACGGAACTGCACGGCAGCAGCAGTCTCAGCCACAGCGGCAGAACCGTCGGAGAAGGTACACTGAGCGGGGGCACAACCCTGAAAGATAGGGACCGGTACAGTACCGCTCGCTTGGGCGATGGAGCGGTGGCGGGTCCCTATAACAGTCAGGGTGTCTACGAAGTCGGTGAGGGTGAGCTCACCGGGGTGGACGCTAAGGAAGCGGTCGCGGGCAGCGGCAAGGCGGTCAGGGAGGCGGGTGGCAGGCAACTAGAGGGTAGAGGTAAGGGGCGGCTGGTGGGCTCGAAGCTGTGCGTCAGTACAGGCAGCACGCCAGGTCTCATCTATTGTGCGCAGGTGGGCCGCTAGGTCAGCGACAGTGGGGAAAGACACGAAGTCAGGAAAGAGCATCAGAAGGATCAGACGACCCACTGAGGCAACAGGAGGGGTGGAATAGCGCTTGATGACAGCATCTAGGTAAGCCTGGGCGGTAGTGAGGGACCTAAAGCGAGGGCACTCAGACGGGGGAAGGGCATTGCTAATGGCCAGCTGGGCGACAGCGTCTCGGGAAAGCCAGACAGAGCGCGCAAGGGCAGCGGCTGCAGTGGACTCGCGCTCAGCGGGTGTGGGGTCAGGGGGCAGCACAGCAGGGGGGTCTGGGCAGGGGAGCGTACCGTCGAGGTGTGCGGAAAGCGGGTGGCCATCCTGCCGATGACCAGTGAGGTGACGGCGGAGGTCGGCGAGCCACGCCTCAAATTCCAGTGGCTGGCCTTCAGCGTCGAAGCGAAGCTCCGCCGCCATCAGGAGCAATGCAAGACTGTACAGTGCGGGGCAGTGCGGTGCAGGGCGGTGCAGTGCGGTGCAGTGCGATGCAGCGCGGTGCAGTGTGGTGCAGTGCGGTGTAGGGCGGTGCAGTGCGGTGCAGGTGATGAGGAACAGTACCAGGAAGGATGCAGGGCCGGGGCAGGGACGACGAGCGGGCCGCACACAGCTCGGGGCAGGACCGGCGCGGGGGCCAGTAGCAGTGGGCACCAGGCCGACAGGACGGGCGCAGGGCCGGCTGGGACGGGCGGGACGGTCGGGAGGACTGGCGCGGGGCCGGCTGGGACGGGCGCCAGGCAGGCGCGGCAGGGCCAGGCAGGCGCGACTGGGCCAGACAGGGCGCGACGAGGCCGGGCAGGGCGCGACGGGGCCAGGCGGTCGCGACGTGGCCGGGCAGGGCGCGACGGGGCTAAGGGCGTGACGGGGCCCAGGAGGGGCGCGACGGGGCCCGGAAGGGGGCGCGACTGGGCTAGGAGGCGCGCTAGGGCCCAGGAGGGGCTCGGCTGGGCTGGGAGACGCGACGGGGCCCAGGAGGGGCGCGACTGGGCTAAGAGACGCGAAGGGCCCAGGAGGGGCGCGGCTGGGCTAGGAGGCGCGACAGGGCCCAGGGGGGGGGGCACGACTGGGCTAGGAGGCGCGGCAGGGCCCAGGAGGAGCGCGACGAGGCTAAGAGGCGGGATAGGGCCCAGGAGGGGCGCGTCTAGGCTAGGAGGCACGACGGGCCCAGGAGGGGCGCGGCTGGGCTAGGAGGCGCGACGGGGCCCAGGAGGGGCGCGACTGGGCTAGGAGGCGCGAAGGGCCCAGGAGGGGCGCGGCTGGGCTAGGAGGCGCGACGGGCGCTCGGTGAAAACAGAGTTGTCCGGGACTATTTACACCGACGACGTGTCCCGAATGTGGGTAGTCTCATCCCGGAAGGGGGGTTGGTGTAAGGAACTTCCCTTTTCCTTACTGGGCTCGGCTACAGCGCGTATGCCCTCAACTCTCGGAAGTCCAGGCCCGGCCAACTTCTTCGGTCCCGAACCACTTCGCAAACTCAAACCTAGACGTGCGGCGCTTCTGTAGCTTTCGCGCCAATCGGTCCGCCCCAACCTGTTCGCGTGGTTCTTGGCTAGCTTTGTCCGTGCCTATAAATGCCTAGGCCCTCATTTGTATCGACACTCTTGAATCACGACTCCTTTATTACACTACCTGTGATTACTCTGATTAGTTCATAACATACACAATGCGCCTTCTTGCGGACACTACAGTTTGCTAACATATAACCAGATAATGTTTCCAGATGGTTGTAGGGTACAGAATGGTTATACCTCATTGTTAGGTGAGAGCTCATCTTGCACATTAATAAGACATTTCCTACCAAATGAATTACCACACTTTTCTCGCGCTCATCCCCTCACGAGTCGCCACGCGGCAAACCCATCATTCAGTCCGCGGCGAGTCAAGCACATCCACTTCAGCGCCTAGTCTACCATACCATCCTGGTCAGCGGTCTAGGGTTTACTTCTCTCCCTCGCCGCTTAGTACATCGTCGATTAATTTGCTTCAGTACCGGTTCCCGCCGACATATCTCAGCCACAGCGGCCTTTCTCGTCCGATCCGCTTGTGGCACTTGTTGGTGCAGCGACGCGCTCTCCATGGCAGCGCAGCCGGCACAGCCGCAGGAGTGGGCGGCAGTGGAGCAGCAGGCGGAAGTGTCGCGGTCCGCCATCACCTCGGCGATCGACCGCCTAATTGAGCAGGCACGGCTGGTTTGTTTCTTGCTTAGCAGGTGGATTAGGGTGGAATCAAGTGCACGTTCAGGGCTGACTGGGTGCGTCTCAGGTGTGCAGCTGCCGGTAGTTCTCCATGGCACCGTCATGGCTGATGCTCTCGCATTCTCCACTTCTCGCTTGTGTCGTGCCATATCGTCCTGTCAACTTGTAAGCATGTGCGCGTTGTGAGCTGCTCTACAGCAGTGGGTCGGGTCTCGCACCTGTCGGGTCGCTCGAGAGCGTTACGTTGGTCCTATTTCGGGTCGTCCTAAGGCGTTGAAATCAGCGCACGCGGAGGGGGCGTTCAGCATGTCGATGGCCGTTGGTCCGAGCGCAGGTCCCTCTTGCCGCGGCCCGCGCCGACTCAGAGGCCGACTTGCTGGGAGCCAGCGGTGCTGGGAGTGCGAGGATCTGAAGAATAAAGCCGTTTTATGGCAAGTTGAGAAGGCGTGGCGTGTCGGCCGTGGGACTGCTAGAATCGACGGTCACGGCTGCCGCCATTGCGCCTGCCGCTGCGTCCCGCACCACTCCCTAGCCCCACCGTACCCCATCCTCCTCCGCTTCCCGCCCCCCGCTCCCTCTGCCGTGTGCTGCAAGCGCGTGCGCATGCGAGCGCGGCCAGTAGAGGGCGGCGATACTGGCGCTGGACAAGAGCGCGACGCCCTCGCTGCTTCATTCTGCCTCCGTGTGCCCCCCACACCGCCCCGCCCCCCTCCCTCTCCGCACGCGTGAGCAGGGCAAGGAGACGGTGACCATCGTGGCGCTGGGCAAGGGCAGCGTGGGCAAGAGCGCCACGCTGAACTCGCTGCTGGGGGAGCGCCTCTTCCCCACGTCCGGCTTCCAGGCGTCCCCGCACCCGCGCGAGGCCGTGCGCGCGTATGGCGGAGCGACGCTGCACGTCATCGACACGCCGGGCCTCGTGGACGCCGGAACCGTCAACCGCGCCGCCATCGACGAGATCCTGCAGTGAGTCCGTGCGCGCTTGGAGCAGTGCCTGCAAGCACCGTGCTGAGCATGCGTGCACGGTGAAGCTCGCGGCTGGCAACGAAATCCCGTAGTGGGTCCCTACGGAGTGTCAGACAACAGAATCTAAACCCCACCCATGCAGCAGCACACATGCCATGCGGCACACAAAGGGCAGCATGCCATGCCACTGCGATCCATGCGGGCCCTGCCCGTGCCACGATGTGGTCGCACCGGCCCTGCCCGTGCCACGATGTGGTCGCACCGGCCCTGCCGGCCTGCCATGGCCACCTCCATCCAGACTTCTCTGGCCCCTCCTCCCCTTCGCCTCGCTCGGCCCCTAGCCCCCTGGTGGGGCGCACCGTGGGCGTGCTGCTGCACGTGCACTGCCTGGGCGCGGCGGCACTGTGTGCGCTCATGCTCGCATGCGCCCGTGTTGTCTCCCCCTCTCGCATGTCAGCGCGCTGGTGGGGCGCACGGTGGACGTGCTGCTGTACGTGGACCGCCTGGACGCGTACCGTGTCGACACCATCGACGCGCTCGTCGCTCAGGGTATCAGCCAGGCTTTCGGCCCCCAGGTGCGCCTTCAATCCCCCCCCTTCCCCCCCCCCCCCCCCGCCTCACGCCCCGCCTCCCTTCTCACTCTCTCTTCCCCGCCCATGCCCTCCCCATCTCCTCCCACTTGTCTGCTCGCTTCCCATGGCGCATCCTCGCGCGCCTCTGCGGGATCCCGCTCCTCGCCCCGCCCGCACCGTCTTGCTCATCCTCTCCCCCGTGCCTCTCATGCTCACCGCCCACCGCCTCCCCGCCCACCGCCTCCAAGCCCACCGCTTCCAAGCCCACCGCTTCCCAACCTGTGCGCCCTAAGCTAAGCTCTCAACTTCATAGTGCTCCCGACACCCTCCTCGCCCCTTGGTTTCAACGTGCGCCCCCACCATGTTCCCTCTGCGCACTCCCCTCCCGCCGCGCCCCTTGGTGCTTCTCAGATCTGGCGGCGCGCAGTGCTCGTGCTCACGCGCGCGCAGCTGTCCCCGTCGGACGGCCGCCCGTTCCCCGACTTCGTTGCGGCGCGCTCAGATGCGCTGCTGGGCGTGATCAGGAAGCAGGGCCGCCTGGGCAGGGGCGACCAGGTGAGGGCGGTGTGCGGGTGTGGGGGGAGTGGGTGGGTGGGTGGGATGGCGCATTTTTTATGGTTGGTGGTGAGATGCACTGGTGGGGATAATGAGGAGGCAGGGGCGCATGGTCAAGGGCGAGGAGGTGAGGGGGGGGGGCTGGAGTGTGAGGGAGGAGGAGGGTAGTGGGATACCGGGTGCGAGTTTGGATTGGGGAGGGGGTGTGCATGCCGCATCATGTTGTGGGATTGCTGCTGCAGGGGGTCTGGTCTGTTATCATAGCCTTCGTGGGGAGAGTCGGGCCGAGGCTCAATTTCCTCTATGGCGTCCTGATTGCGCTGCTTTCACATTTGCTGTCGTGTGTGCATGGCATGGCATGGCATGGCAGGTGCCGGTGGCGCTGGTGGAGAACATGGAGGGGCGGTGTCGGACGAACGACGATGGCGAGAAGGTAACTCCTGGGCTCATGCACGCATTCTTACTTGGGGCCACAAAGGGGGTGAAATACCTGCGCTTTTGTGGACTATCCTTGTCTTCTCCCCATTCTCCTTGGCACACCTCTATCGCCCTCTGCCCTCTCAAGCGTGCATCGCTTGTACCTTGCCCCTCCCTTGGACTCTCTGCATCCTGCAGATCCTCCCCAGCGGCCAGGCGTGGTTCCCCCACCTGGTGGACGCCATAGTGGCGGCGGCGCTGCGGCGGCAGCCGGTGGTGCGCGTGGACGAGCGCATGGCGCGCGGCTTCAACCCCAACCGCAGCGGCAAGCTGCTCATCCCCTTCGTGCTTGCGCTGCAGGTGCACTCTCTCCGCCTCTACCCCCCGCATCCCTCCATCCCTCCACCCCCCCTCAACCCCCAACCCCCGGCATCCCTCGACCCGCTCAAGCGTTCCCCAACCGCTCCCTCTTCTGCTCCACCCTCGCCCTCTTCGTGTGCTTGATGCAATCCGGTCCCATCCCTCTCCCCTCCATTCCCCACCCCATCCTGGCAGGTGTTCCTGGTGGCGCTGCCGCTGCGGCGAGCCATAGAGTGGGACAAGAAGGAGGAGAAGCGACACCGGCCGCGGTGGGAGGAGGAGGCGGAGGACTACCGCCGCTCCAACGCCGCTGCTGTGGCGCGTCGACGCATCGCCGCCTTCCAACAGCAACAGGCCAAGGCTCAAGCCAAGTAGCTCAGGCCAAGTAGCACAGGCCAAGTAGCAAACGCCAAAGCATGCCGTGGATAGTAGGCTCTACTGTTGTATTTTCTGTCAGGTTCGGAAGTCCTCCAGCGCGTGATGCCTTTGGTCTTATGTTTTCGTTTTATTTTTCTCCAGTCTAAAGATTTCGGTACAGCACATGCAGGCAGTGTACTTGTATTTTGCCGGGGATGCCGATTCACCAGTGGATCCGACCGGAGTTTGACCTGCCTGGTTTCGCGTGTATCCTGGCGCCAGGGGCGTATTTCCTTCACGAAGGCGCCGCTTCTGGGTTTCCTGGCTTCTCGCCTGGGAAGCTGGAATGGACCGAGGAGTGAACCGAGGAGTGAACCGAGTGACCTGACCCCGTGGTTGTGAAACCGGTGAACGCGGCTCTCGCCAGCATCCCAGATGAACCGGTGAACGGTTCTCGATGCCTCGTTCGTCCACCCAGTCTCCGCCTAGGTTCTGGGCCAGGGCACGATTCTCCCACCACCCCCCTTCCCTTGCGTTCCCTTGCTTGTGCCTCACTACTCGTCCCTTGGACACGCACTGCGATTCCACACCGTCACAAGTCCACGCCCGTATCCCTCGCTGCAAGCTCCTCGACTCATTCTCGTCCCTCGCTCCATCCGTCTCATCCACACCTCCTGCTCCACCCTACCGTATTTCCACCTCCCGGCAACCTTCCAGTCGGCGGTGCCGGTCACGTCAAGCGTCCGTCCCTCGGTGGACACCGCACGCGCTCCACCATCCCCATGCCCACCTCCTATGGCGACGGCACCGCCGATGCCAAGAAGCGGGCCGGCAAGGGCCCAACTGACGCCGCTAAGAAGTGGCCGGCTGCCAACCGTTCCTTCGGTCGCTCAGGCGGCGCTGGCGGCACGGGCAGCAGGTGGGGGCTGGCCAATGGGAGCAGGACACCTATCCGCAGCCGCGGCTCGATGCGCGATCTGATGGAGGCGGCGATGGACGCCGCCGCGGGAAATCCGGATTCGCACGCACACGGCGCTGTTGGCGACGGCTCCGCTGGCGTGTCGCTGGCGTCGCTCGCGACGCCGTCGTCGTCGGGCGATCATCTGTCGCTGGGCGACGCGAGCGGCGACATTCCGTGGTGGTCCGTCGCTCTGCCGCTCGACTCCTCGGGCGCTGCCGCCTCGCCGCTCTTCTCGCCGCTTCTCTCGCCGCTGCCCGGAAACTCCGGAGTGGGCGGGGGGGGCTTCGAAGACCTGTACCGCGGCCTGCGCCACCTGGACGGGGACGCGGGGAGCCCCGAGGGGCGCGCGCAGTCGGATTCATCCGCTGCGAATACTGCAGCCTCAGCGGCCGATGCTGCTGTTGCTGACGTGGAGGCACGTGCGCGTGCTGAGCGCCCGGTTGGGCAAGGGGAAGCGTGGAGTGCGGCGGACGGGTTGGCGGCAGGCGAGAGTGCGGAGGGCGGGGGGTCAGGCGACGAGGGTGTTGCGAGGTGCGGCAGCGGCAGCGGGGACGGCGTGTTCGTGGACTCGCGCAGCAGCAACGCCAGCAGCGGCGCGTGCGGGCCGGCAAGGAGCGCGGAGGAGGGCGCGCAGTCGGACGCCACGAGCGGGCGAGAAGGCTGGGCGCACGGTGCGGGAGAGATGCAACGCGGGGTAGCGCGGGCAGACAGGCGGGACGAGCGGGCAGTGGCGGGTGCTGTGGAGGCGGCAGTGATAGAGGGCTCCGGCGAGTGTGCAGGGGAGGGCGTGGCGACGCTGGCAGGCGACGGTGGGGGGTGGCGCGGTGCGACGCACGGAGGGGCAGAGGAGGCGCTAGGTTCAGTGCTGCGAGGCACGCCTGTGGTGGCGCCGCCACCCGTGGCTGCTGCTTCCCCAGGCGGCCCCGCGGAGCTCATTGCCCCTTCAGTCGCGCTGCTGCCGCGCTCAGCGCACACGGGGAGAAGCGGCAGCGCAGCACATGCAGCTAGAGCGACGGGGGATGGGCGGGAGCAGACGAGCGGGGATGGAGATGGAGGGGCGGGCACGGAGGGGATGCACAGCAGGTACCCGAGCTTCACAGTGCAGGGCCATGGCAGCGGCGGGGAGGGCAGTGAGCGGTGGGAGTCACAGGGCTCCTCGCAGCTGCTGGCGCCACCACAGGCAGCGGGTGCTGCAGCGGACATGGGAAGGCAGGGTGCGGCACACAGGGCGAGACACGAGGGGCAGAGCAGCACGCAGGTGCTCCGCCTCTGGTCCTCCGCTGATTCCATGTCCGATGCCTCCGCCTCCGCCTCCGCCTCCGCCTCCGCCTCCGCCTCCGCCTCCGCCTCCGCCTCCGCCTCCGCCTCCGCTGCTACCTCTGCTGTCGCCGCCTCTGTGGCTGCCGCTGCTGCCGTCCCTGTGACGGATGCGGGCAGTGCGAGTGGCGATGGCGCTGACAGCATGGGCGTGTGGCGCCCCACCGCGCACGTGGACGACGCAGGTGAGCCTCGCATGCCCGTGCACCCGTTTAGGTGCCAATCATGTTTCAACTGTCAGTGGACCCACTTGTTTTCGTATTGCACGTGGTGCTCACTCCGCTGCCACCCTCCCAGTCCTGGCAGCAACCGAGAGGAAGCTAAGGCGAAGGCAACACAAAGCACCGCCAGCAGCAGCAGCAGCAGCAGCAGCAATAGCAGGGGGCGTTGGTGGCCCCCCAGTGTCCCCGCTGTCCACACGACGCAGCGCCGGGTCAAAGGCCAGCACGCGGAGGCGGCGGCAGCAGCTGCAGCGGGCGGGCGGGCTGGGTGGGAGTGGGGAGTCAGACTCCGATGAGGACTTCTGGGGGTTGGCGCGGGGCGAGTGGGAAGCAGGCAGGCGAGGAGGCGAGGGAGGTGTGGGCGTGAGGCAGGTGGGGCACGGCGAGGGGCATGCAGGGGAGGAGGGGGGGGTGAGGGTGGGAGACAGAGGGGCGCGGTGGAGGTGGAGGAACGAGGAGTTGCGTGTGAGAGCAGTGTGGCACGTGCAGCGGCTGCTGGTGCTGCTGCTCATGCTCCTTCTGATACTCATGCCGGTGCTGGCAGCGATGCAGGCGGTGATATGGTGCATGGGAAGGGTATGCGTCCCACAGGGGGTGCAGTGGACACAGAGAGCGGGTTGGGCGGGCACACAGGCGTGCAGTTGTGGCAGGGAGGGGGGACGGAGGAGAGAGAGGGGCGTGGGGCAGCGCATGCTGCTGCCTCACCACCATGGAAGGAGCTTCAGCAGGTGGGCGTTTGCTGTTGTTCAAAACGGGTGGGGTATAGCACGGGGCACCATGAAGCAGGCTAGATGTGCGTGGCTGTTGCCCGTTATGTTCTCACGAACATGCCCTCATCCCACATGCCCCGCATGCCCCAAGTTCAATCGTTTTGCACCTCTCTTTCCTCTTCTAACCGTTTTCTTGCTCTTTTGAAAGTTCTCCTGTCCGCCCACCTGGCACTGCCTCTCGTTCCCTCGCTCATTCGTTCCCTCGCTCGTTCGCTCCCTCGCTCGTTCGTTCCCTCGCTCGTTCGTTCCCTCGCTCGTTCGTTCCCTCGCTCATTCGTTCCCTCGCTCATTCTTTCCGTGCCACGCCCCTCCCCTCCATCCCCCTCGCCCTCCCCCTGCTCTCAGCCCGCTCCTACTGCTGCACCCAAGCCAGGTCGTTTCGCATCTTTGAGGCAGCGGTGGGAGCAGGGGGGGTCTGCTGCTGTTGCTGCTGCTGCTGCTGCTGCTGCTGAGGGCGATGGCAGTGGTGGGGAGGGCGATGGCAGTGGTGGGGAGGGCGATGGCAGCGAGCATGGTGGCGAGCGTGGTGGCGAGGAACACAGGCGGCAGGGGCAGGGCGAAGGTGCACGAATGGTAGCAGCTAGCGGACGGTTCCAAGGGAGTGGCCGCAGCGCTCCTGTGCTCGGGGCTGGTGCTGGTGCTGGTGTGTGGCAGAGGCAGCAGGCTGCAGGGCGTGACTCAGGGAAGGGGGCGGCAGGGCGAGGAAGGCCATTGGGGGGAGGAGCAGCGGAGGGTGGTGCGAGTGGGAAAGGGGGGGGAGTGGTGGGGGGCGGGGGCGGGTGGCGGAGATGAGGGAGCGCATAGCGCGGGGGGCGTGGGGGGAGGGAGGGGGGGCGGCGCCAGGGGCACCATTGGCATGTGGGAGGGTAGGGGGCGTGCAGGGCGGGGCTGGGCTGAAGAGAGCAGCAGGGGCAGGGGGCGGGGCGGGGGAGGGAGCGGGGAGCAGCAACGTGGTGGTGCTGACGTGCCCGCGGGTGGGGGGGCGTGGTAAGCAGGAGGGTGGGCAGGGCGCTTCAGCCAGCGACGGTGCTGCTGCTGACGGGGGTGACGGTGGTGGCGCTGGTGGTGGCAATACGAGTGGCAGCGGTGTGGGCGCTGCAGGTGCTGAGTGCTCCGTGTACCTCATCGGCACGGCGCATGTCTCCAAGGTACTGCCCGTGTTTCGTACCCCACTCACTCTCGTGCCACTGGGACAAAGGGTGCATTTGCGAAAGGGTCCGCACTGGTAGTGGGCTTTGTTTCACGTGAAAAGGTCCCAGTCTTGCTGCACATACATACCACCGTTGCCATCGTCCTATCGCGCCATTGGCTGTGTTGCATGCTGTGGTTGCTGTGCCTACCTACCATGTGCAACGCGCACGCCATCCATCTCATGTGTGCGCGTGCTGCCATCCATCTCATGTGTGCGCGTGCTGCCATCCATCTCATGTGTGCGCGTGCTGCCATCCATCTCATGTGTGCACGTGCTGCCATCCATCTCATGTGTGCGTGTGCTGCCATCCATCTCATGTGTGCGCGTGCTGCCATCCATCTCATGTGTGCGCGTGCTGCCATCCATCTCATGTGTGCGCGTGCTGCCATCCATCTCATGTGTGCGCGTGCTGCCATCCATCTCATGTGTGCGCGTGCTGCCATCCATCTCATGTGTGCGCGTGCTGCCATCCATCTCATGTGTGCGCGTGCTGCCATCCATGGCAGGAGTCGTGCAACGAGGTGCGGCGCATCATTCGGCAAGTCAAGCCCGAGGTGCGTGCCCGAGGTGCGCGCGCATGACTTTTGAGTCACCTACGAGGGCCCATGCGCGCGCATGAATTTTGAGTCGACTCAAAAGTCACCTACGAGGGCCCATGCGTGCGCATGCCATCCGCAGGACCACAGGGGCCTCCATTCATTGCGGCCCCACCTTGCCTGCGCCCCCACCCCACCCATGGTGGCAAGTCTTTTGAAGGCTCTTGTCGCTAGCCTTTGCTGATCAACCATG